GCCCTGCCATAAAACAGCCCCACATATCGTTCTGTTTTATGCTAGCACATCAGATTTTTTAAAAAAGGTGTCGCTCTAATTTGTCCAAAGGTGAAAGTAATTTTTCGACTGAAGCCAAGTGTTGAATAACCTACCTTGACTTATGTTACTTATGACTTGATTTCAGTTTACTTACGAGGAAAGGTTCCCAAGTGTTACTCTCACTTTTCAATGGGATATACCCTAGTTTATAGCGCTCGACCAGCTGATTACGATGGCTTAAAGCATTTCTTAAGACCCGATTTTCTGGAAAACGAAATTTTTCAGAAACTCTGGAAATAAATCCGTAATCCGACGTTTAAGCGACCGACATTTGAGCGACTCCGACATTTGAGCGACCGACACTTGAGCGATCGACGTTTGAGCGACCGACACTTGAGCGACCGACGTTTGAGCGACTCCGAAATTAGACACTTTTCAATATGACTTTTTGCCGATCAGGAAAGTCGAATGATTATTCAATTGGATAACGATGATCAGAACAATTTTTTTGTCGTCCGATTATGAACTGAATTATTTGGAGATCTGTAGAGGGTGAGTCTGTGTAGGGTAAGGGAGGGTGAGTGGGGCTGAGGGTAAGCAGTTATGGAATGTCGCAGGGTTTATATTATTCGCGTATTGAATTTTAAATCTCGCATAGAAAACATAATTTTCATATGCAAGACGTTAGGTTATATTCGTTTAATCCGAAATTGTGCACTATTTTCACAAAAAAATTTGCCCAACGCAGATTCATGTTCTCAAATAACTGAGTTTTGTAGAGTAAACATTTTTTCACATTATGAGCTATGGGAGGGCGTATTCTTCTTCTTGCTTTCAATATTTATACAAAGAAAAAGACTTCTTCGGTAACCCGTTTCAGAAAAAAAGATAAAATTTATCAGTTGTAACCGGTGCTTTTCTACAAATGACAGGAATATTGTCTAATAATACTGGAAAATGATGATAGTCTTCGCCAAAACAAAATAATACAAATTTAATTTTTCCATTTTGTTGTCTAAAACCAAAACAACACGAATTATAGCAAACATATTTTACAAATGTATAATCGAAACAAGTACGCTACTTCTAGAAGTGTTGTTGCTCGAATAATTGCATAATGATCTTTTGGCATTCGTTTACGTAAATTTTCTAATTTTGAACGATCTTTTAAATTGTTAACAATTGTCTACAAAGATAAAATGTAGATAGTTTTACAGTCAGTAATACTTTAAAAGTAATTAGAGAATTCTTACATCAATGGCAACATCATAATTGCCATATTTTTCAGCATATGTCAAACGTTTTTCCGGATTAGTTATCAATAATAAAAATTTTTTTGTTCTTTCACTAGCCAGCTCTCTTTCACCACTATCAATGGATGCTTTATACACCATATCGACAAGTACATGTGGAGAAATAATATACTTATGTCTTGATAGACCCTAAATAATAGAACACATGATAATACATGAAAACTTTTATATATTCATATTTACTTGTGGAAGAGCTGTACTAACAAATTCTTGATAGTATGTTCTTAAACCATGTGAGATTATTACGGACAATTTAGCGTACATTGTCAATTCTGGTGATAACTAGTTAATGAATATATATTTGTTTTCCACATAATCGATTACAATCATTAGTTTGTCTGACTCACTCGAAAACTTGATTCTATATCTTTCGATTGTAGCATCTAGAAAAACAAATAAATCTCCACATACAGACACACACAAATCCCAAATAACATTATTACTGACATTTTTATCATTTCGTCGAAATTCAGTGTCATAACATGATCGAAACGTTTTAAATAATGTTGTAGTCGTTGCCTTGATTTATAAAAAAAAAATTATTAGACCTATTTTAAGACATCAAATTGAAGGTATACCGACATTTGGGCGCACGACATATAGTCGATAGTTGGAGTTCAAAGATGCCGGTGTGGTGTGGGTGAGTATGAGTGTGAGTATCGATGAAGATTAAAGAAACAGTGGTTACAGTTGGATATGAGTAATATAGAAAAAGCTCTCACAGTATAAAAAGTTTGTTTAAAGAGAATTTTATCGTTTTGCAGCATACTTTAACAAATGCACTACTTCTGTTTGCTTTTGTCGTGGATGCACCTAATGTCGCTGCGCTCAAATGTCGCTGCGCTCAAATGTCGCTGCGCTCAAATGTCGCTGCGCTCAAATGTCGCTGCGCTCAAATGTCGCTGCGCTCAAATGTCGCTGCGCTCAAATGTCGCTGCGCTCAAATGTCTCGTAATCCAAATTGAAATTACATACAATATGTAATGTTTGTTGTTTTTCAAGTAAACGTCTATAATCAAATACTTGTGTTTGCCACCAATAATTCGAAGTAAGTTTACTAAAAAGAAAGAAAAGAAAAAATAAACTAATCTATATTAGATCTATCTTTATTTTTTCATACTCTATAGCTTCGTCCAGAAATCTAAATTTTGCAGGTAAATCAGTTGTTTGACCAGCTAGACGAAATTGTGCCAACTAATAGCAATAATAATGTAATTTGATAAATAAATTATTATGTTTTATAACTTACAGCAAGTTCGTCTAATTGTCCAAAGCGTCTAAATAGAAAAAAAGTAAAAAATTGTTAAAACTTGATTATATTGGTAAATAGAAATGGAAACACGTTTCATTTTACTTCAACATTTTTACATAATCATCTGTATCTGAGCACAGTTTGCATATATTTAGATAAGTACTGATTACTGATGGATATTGGCTAATCAAGTCGCAGAAAAGAGATTGTGATAAAGTGTTTTCCAAAAACATGATTATCTGAGAAGAAACAAAGCAATAGATAATATTTATATAACTGAAAATAGTTGATTCATAAACATACGGGTACAGTAACGCTAGGAACATTAATTGATAAAGCTTGTCGTAGTAAAGATTCTTTGGCATCGTAGTGTTTAATATCACTTAATGACACTTCCTAGAAAATAAATTGTTGAACATACTCTTTTACTTTGTAGTATAAACTTAAATTCTTCTTACCTTGTCTTTCATTAAAGCCAAACATTTTTTTTTCATTTTAGCATCAAAGTTTATTATATTATCATCACTCTAAATATTAACACTTAGAAAACAAGAAAACATTTGCTAATAAATAGATATTTGTACCTGTACATCTTGACTAGCTGAATGAAACAAAAAAAAGAAAGATTAGCATTTTCCAGTAACCAATGGCGACAACGTACGATGATCTGATGCGATTGGTTTCCATGGTTTTTCAGGTATTTCTTCTGGATAGAATGTGCCTGTTGTTGTTGCTGACTGAAATGAAGAATCGGATTGTGGTCTAACTAGTATTGTAGCTGAAATAAATGATAGTTTTACTTATAAAATAAAAAAAATATCTTTTTTGAATATTTAATCATTCAAATCAGTATACATACGATCATTATTTTGATTATTATTGTCATATGAATAATTTTGTAATGAAACCAAATCGTCATTTGTATGTGTGTCAGAATACTGTTGATTATACAATACTGTTTCACTGTGACTATGAGGTAATTGTGTTAATGATGAAGTGGATGGTGATTGAAATACATTTGAAAATGGTACAGCTGAAGGGTGAGTTATTAGATTTTGCTCAAATTTTTCTAATTTATCACTAAATTTTTTGAAAACATTAGTATTATCCGCTTTTTTCATACGTCGAACTCTATGGTGAGACGCCATTTATGTTTTGTTTTATTTTTATTTTACATGTACGAACACATGTGTCTAACGTTTTATAACTCTAATATCAAAAATCACTCAAGTGTAAGGAAAATCTTATATTATCTTTTTCGTTTTTTTTGTTCTCTTCGTGCTCCTGTACATAAATTATATAGTTACTAACAAAATGTTAATTGTTATGAAATAAGGACACAAAAATATTAGCTTTTAAATAAAACTAGATAATTATCGATTTAAATAAAAGATAAGCAAATTATTATTGAAAGAAATTATAACTGCAAATTGCTTGTAGTCAAAATTGAACACTTTCTCATTATTCACAGTAGCGATCAGTATTAGATAAGACTAAAGGTCAGATGTGAATTATTTTAACCAATTACATAAAAGAAAATCGAACGCAGTCCATTTTATCAGAAAGTAAATTTTTGTTTAATGAGAACTGTAATTTTTCTTCGACACAATAAAATTTTCAGAAGATATCTTAAATCTGAATAACAAATTTCAAGCCATATGAGAGAGTTGTAAAAGCTGATTTTACAACAGTTGATCACTGTGACATTAGTTACGCCTCGATTTGCTTTTTACAATAAAATATACAGAACTCGTGTACGTCTTCAGCTACGAAGAAAAACGGACTACAATATGGAAGATAAAACACCACGATAAAAAATCTAGGAGAAACCATCTTTCATATCACGTTCTCAAAAGAAAGTTAAGGCCTTTGTAGTTGTTGTACAATGTTTTACCCGTTTTTATCTTCGGGAACATGATGCAAAAAAAGCGCGTTGTTTAACTCATAATGAGTACGCGCGAGCAAGAATAAAACAATGTAATACATCAGAACAACTAAACAACCGTTCATTACAACGATTTGGCGCCAAATTCACATTTATCGTTTGTTCGTAAGTCTATTTCTGTCGCACTTGGCGGGAATATTGTTATTAGAGCTTCTTTTCAATAATTATGCACGAAAGTCCGGTTTTTTGCATTATTGGTATGAGGACTGACGACTAAGTGCATCCGGTATACAATAGTGTCACTAAAACATATAGAATATTCAGAATTCGAACTGAAATACATTGGTTGAATATTTTAGATTTAAATAAGCTTCAAATAATATTTCATTTCCCCATATTTCATTGTTATGCTCAAGCGCAGCTACTGAGACCTCCGATGATGGCGCGTCACGACGAATCTCCAACACAGTCTGTTAGTGGCGGCGTCATCGGAGATCTCAGTAGTAGCTGCGCTTGAGCATAACAGAGAAATATGGGGAAATGAAATGTTAATTGAAGCTTACTTAAATCTAAAATATTCAACCAGTGAATTTCAGTTCGAATTCTGAATATTTTATAGCAGTCGCTTAAAATAAAAATTGAGGCTTTTCTGCCACTTGATTAGCCAATATCCATCAGTAATCAATACTTATTTATAATCAGTCGTAGTTGTGTACCTTTCATATCCGCTACTGTGGAATGTGTATTTTCTTCCGGTGGGATGTTCAGACGATCCCATGTCGGCCAACTCTCTGAGAACATACTCGTTATGTTGACTCTACTCAAATGCAATCTACCCTCCCCCTATTTCCACTAGTCTTATTTCATGCTACATATCAAACTGTGGTCTAAAACTATTGTACATAAAAATTTTCTTGTTGATATTCCGTATATCCTGTGAAAGAGAATATGAACCCCAGATCACAGCAAAGCTATTTCAAAGAAATGCGAAAAATGCGCTTTTTCAATAACATGAAAACTATTTTTAGCCGGAGCGGAGCTGGAGTGAGTGGAAGTGGAGTCAGAACGGAGTTGGAGCTGAGCTGAAACGAAAATTTTCTGGTTCGAGCGGAGCTGGAGCGAAGCGGGTGCAGAAATTTTCTTGTTGGAGCGAAGTCGGAGCGGAGCGACTCAAAAATCCCTGGAGCGGGAGCGAGAAAGGGTCGAAGCTGCCGGAAAAAACGCATGCTTCACATGAAGCTCCTACCCTTTTTTCTAATTTCACTCTACGATTTTGAAACAAAGTTTTTCAAAATCAGCATGGCAAACTGCATATGAAAATGTGCTTTTGAAGTTTTCGCATAGTACCAAGCCGGTTGAAAAAAATTAATTTCCAGGGGAACTCAAAAACGTAACCCGCTGCTCAAAAAAGCATCAAGTGTCTTACATTAAGAGATGAATCATTGTTTCACAGGGCATTCGGAACCGTTTTTTCGACGTGAAAAATCGAAAAAAACAAAAGTGGTCGGGGAGGTTAAAACAATACATCAATCGACTCGGTTTTTTTTATCCTTTTCGGTATTTCGTGAACTTCACGGTGAAGACAAAAGATTTTCTGGAAACAAGACCATCAGTAGATGCAGCTCTTCAAACTGCATCGATCTATATATGAGCGAAGAAAATCTGAGAAGCGTCGTAGCTATGAATTAACGGCGTCCTATATATGTATATATATATATATATATCATGCAAGAAGATTATATATGTTACAGTCCAGCTTAGAATTTAGTCCAATTTTGAATTGGTCCAGTCCAACTTGGAATCTATCCGAGTGAGCTTGAAAAATATAATATTCGAGTTCAGTCAGTTATTACAAATCATGCTCTTAGTTTCAACTAGACGTTCATGAGCCATTTAGCACCTGGTGAAAAACGGTACAAGAAAAAAAATCTATTTCAATAAACATTTGTATTTTCGTTTTATGAACAATCTTGTAGAAATTTTTTAAACTTATATAAGGATAATCATATTTATTAGCTGCATGAAAAAAGATTCTATGATGAAGAAAAGACGACGTTGTTATTTATTTTCTAATGTGAAACAGAAACTGACTATTATCATCTTTCTATAACTATGACATCAGTTGTTTTTCTCCTTCTCGACATATTTCGAGAAAGTCATACAAAGTACTTTTCGCTACTTAGTGAAAGTTATACTGTGTAACCGTATAAAATAGGAGAGAGAAATAGAAAGAAAAAGAATGTTCTTAGTCGCATAACGAAAAGAAGAGAGAGAGAAGAGGAAAGGAAGTTGAATATTTGTTTACATTCGCCGAGAAATCTCAAGTAATTTTTCGTATGAAACTTCGATGAAAAATTGTCTGATGGGGAGATATTGCTTAAGTAGAAAGTAGCACATTCGCATATTTCCTCTTTGTAAAACAAAATAGAGGCGAAAATAGTAAATAATATTTTTCTGATGAGATACAAATAAATAATTTTCATTTTTCGTTTCCCGTGATAAAACACAATAGTAGCGACTCGTTTTTAAGCATCGTTCTCACTGATTTTTATTGACCTATCTTGATCAGTATGGAAAGTTTCACCTTTTGGTACCGAACGTACCACCCTGACACTCTGTTTTCGACACTCTAGAATGCGAAGTTCCCGTAATGCGAGGGTACTATGGAGTACACTCCGTAGTACTGTTGCACTACATGAATCTATTAGAGAAAATGTTGATCATTATTCTAATAACCACCAGCATTTTTTCTAACACTGCAATCAGATTAGTGATGATTCTACGAAAGAATCATTTTCCAGTTCGACACTTTAGATCCATCTGCTTGTTTGTTCGCATACCAATATAAGGATATCATATTAATTGTAAGATGATACTTACAATGGATGAACGAATTTCCGTGTAATGTTCGATGATGTCATTCGGTATATGTGGGCAAATTCTCTGGCTTCCATTTCCAACTGTTTCTGCTTGAACATGAAAAGTGCCTGGATTCTGACGGCATTGCAGTACGAGCTGAACATGATAGTCGTTCCTTGTCGTTCTCGAATGAAAATCATAGATAGGGCTATATGCAGGCAAACTTGAGTAGGCAATCGTCGGCGATGTATAAATGTGCTTCTTGCTTGGGATATGTCCAGCACGAATACCGAGAACAGTGCCGTCCATCAACATGTCCCCAGGTAAATAGAAGTGGTGATGCGATAAAATGGAAAGAGCAGCCATTTTGGACGTACCATGGTAGCAGACAATCCATTTTGACCAGATTTGATGAATTTCGGCGAAACTTTGGTCAGTGTGCAAACCAACACGTACCCATCCTCGTAGAATGACATACTTGCATCCTGCTACAAGTTCAACATCGTTCCAGTGAGCTGGATAGCAATGTTTACAATAGCAACGATCAAATGCGCTGTTGAAGAGGGATGGCGGCCAGTTTACGGATTGCAGCCATTCGCACGTGAGCAGAAGCAAAGGACATTTCGCGCTTGGTTGTTTCTGACGAGCAGATTGGAAAAAGACTGTTTCTGGCTCAACTCTTCTAGGGGCCTCGAACAATTTTAGCGTCTGCTCTAGCTCGGGTTGTGGATCGATTCTGCGTGTCTCATGTCTGAGCTGTTGCCGTCCTTTCCATACCTCTTGCTCACGTTGCTGCCGTTCCTCTCGTATCTCCTGTTTACGTTGCTGCTGTTCCTCTCGTATCTCCTGTTCATGTTGCTGCTGTTCTTCTCGACGTTGCTGCCGTTCCTCTTGTATCTCCCGTTCACGTTGCTGCTGTTCCTCTCGTATCTCCTGTTCATGTTGCTGCTGTTCCTCTCGACGTTGCTGCCGTTCCTCTCGTATATCCCGTTCACGTTGCTGCTGTTCCTCTCGTATATCCCGTTCACGTTGCTGCCGTTCCTCCCGTATCTCCTGTTTACGTTGCTGCTGTTCCTCTCGACGTTGCTGCCGTGCCTCTCGTATCTCTTGTTGACGTTGCTGCCGTTGTTGGCGGAGCGCCCGGATATTTGTTTGCATGTGGGTGATGACAGGAGTATGTAGTAGCGTTGGAAAAAATGAAAATGTGACTAGTGCACAACGCTTGCTTCTTTCAAAAATGTTGACAGAAAGAATGAATAAAAAAATTTTACATAATCTGACAGTAGCAAGAAGGAAGAAAATTATTTTTTCCAAGCGGTAGAGGGGTGTACAGGGTTAGAAAAAATGGTTTTGTCAGAGAGGTACAGCTCAAACCTCAAGAGATACAATAAACTTTGAACCGTTTTCAAATGTTTTACTATCGAAATCAATATCAGCTGGATCAACAACCTATGTGGAAGATAACATATGTGTTGCATTTCTTTTTTCGATACAAAAATGCTTTTCAATCTTGCTGATGTAACTTGGTTTTTTCCTACTTTGAAAAACGGTTGCTATTGATGTGTATGTGTTGTTGAATGTAAATAAAAGAACGACAGAAAAAATGTCTCATTTTATTTTTTGATTAAGCAAGACCTTTTTCTCATCTGAGTCATACTCTTTTGGTAAAGACGGGGACCCTACCCGCCGAAATCTGAGAATTCTGGAAATTACCAGTAATAACAGCCGATCGAACGGGACTAGAGGTGTTAGCCGTCGATTTTTCGCCGCCGCCGAGAAAATTTTGATTCGTCGCCGCTGCAAAAAAAAACGTCGGCGGAAACTTATCCGGCGCCGTCGCCAACCATATCTAGCTATTTTTTTGCTATTTTGCTTCACAGTACAATATTCGAAGGTTGGCCCATGTATTCCAAAACATTTTTCGCCGCCGCCGCCGTAAAATTGATTGGCTAACACCTCTAAACGGGACTTGTGTACGGTACAAAGAACTCTTTTCTCAATTGGCTCATACTGCACTAGTGAAATAGAGAAATGTTCATGCTGTCTTCTGGTGAAAACAGAAACATTTTTCTTTTTTACGCACCCAAAACCTCGCCACGGATTCTGTCTACGCAAAACATATCTCATAAAAACTGTTGGAAACACTAATGAAACTGCAAACACTGTAAAACTAATGACAAAAGTTTTAAAAAATTTTTAGTTATAAAATTTTAAAATTAAAAATGGTTTAATTTTCATTTAACTTCTCTTCAAAACTTTTTCTTGAAATTCCATTCTGCTTATTCCATGCAGAATGACATCAGCTACAACTTCGCCAGCGAAAATGTTTCTCGCAAATTCTTTGTTATCGCGCAATCGCTGGTAAGGTCTGCAAAAATTATTCTTCTCTCCGCGTTTTATGAACTCGAAGATATTGTGGTTATGTCACTTTTCTGTTCTGATCTATATGATCTGAACTCGACAACTAACATACTGAGAATGGTAGGATGCTATTTATATATAAATATATATACAAGTCGAGGTACCAGTTTCTGAGATATCAGTCATTAGGTTGTCTATATTTCGAGAAGAACAGCAGCCACCGACTGATGCGATTGTTCTGCTTCCTTGTCAGTACGTTCGGTCTCTTGTTTTATTTTATCTTTGCATCATTTATTCCTTTTCTCAGAAAAACGACCTAGATGTTATCTTTGATTATTTCTTGGTCTAAATAATAGATTCGACTGATGGAAATCATTGTAAAATGTCCAGCATCACCACAAACAGCACTTTAATGCTCTGTATTTTTGCTCTTCTTTTGAATTTTTCGCCACCATGGAAACTTTACCCACAATCCATTTCTAGTGTACTGCAGAACGCATGGAAAGAACTACAAGAAGTTGTATCAATAAGCGGGTTAAACGTGTGGGATCATGGTAAAATCGCGACAATAAGTTCAACATAACTCAGAATCAGTATAATGAATAGGGCATCATTCGGCTCAGCTTTTAGGACTGATTACGAACATCACCTTTATTTTACTTTGAAACGATTCTTGATGGCAAAAGTTTGGCAAAAAGTTGCCGTCTATCTTCGACGTATTTTTCAAACATTGCACTGCATGAAAAGTTAGCAAACGTCAATGTTGCCTTTGGAAAATCGATCCGGTACATCATGGTAGACTTACCATAAGGTTGGTTCTTATGCTTTCAGAAATCAGATTTTACACGGAATAACCGCTTGTGAAATACTATAGGAGGCAAATGTATAGAGAAAGTTTGTCTCGGAAAGTCCAGTCTTGTAGCACATGTAGTCCTGATGCTTGCGAGCAGATTTTGTTGCAAACATATGCTTCGATTTTATACTTTGGGTAGCATTCACAACTTAATTTCTAAACGAGTGCATAACGGCACGTATTTGAATGAACGTGATCTATTTAGGAATAGAAAAAGCACTCTGTAATCTAACATCCGGATGAGGTCGCTACATATAGGCATTGTTTTCTTGCATTCTGTCTATACAATACATGCAGTCGATGAAACTGAACGATGCAATGAGAAAAAAACGAACGGACTGCTGTGAGGGGAGAACACCTCCCAAAAAATACCCTTAAACTTTTCCAGTTTATAGAGGACACATTCAAGGGTATACATGTGCAATAACTCGCGGGTTGGATAAGTTCTGGTGGAGAGCGACTAAAACGCACAGCGGTCACCCTCAGCTGCGGAGGGTTGAACGATATTTTTTCTCTCGAACCGGTCTTAAAAGCACGTTGCTAGACGCAGTCTTTTGCGCTGATTACGAATATTAACTTCAAATCAATCGAAACTTAATAAATCGAAAATTCAAATTTAAAATTTAGAAGTTTTTATTTCAATTTTCTGGCTGACTTACTCCAAAAAAAAGCCATGACTTCTTCATCGATCGTAACTACTTGCACAGTAAATAATAGAGCCGTATCAAATAAGGAATATCTCTATCTTTTCACATCTTGGCAAATGCCATTTTTGAGTTGAAAAAATTTTTTCCTGGGTTTTGTACTAGGTAGACCTAGACATCCTTAGTCACAAGGTTGTGTTGAACGTGCGAATAGAGTTTTGTGTGATGCGTTAGGTAAATGGTTGTGTGCAAATAGTTCTTCTCATTGGTCTGAAGGGCTCTTACCGATTGTTTATGGAATCAATATAAGAGTATCGAGTGTCACTAAAAAATCACCGTATGAGGCTTTATTTGGCCAAGCACCTCGTTCTGATTCTGAGTTTTGGAAAATTGTTGATGAGGAAGATTGCCGAGTCCAGTTGGTGACGTAGATAATATGGTTATTGGACAACTGGATAGTTCATATGAAATTCATAATGGTATTGACCAGGAGGTGGTTCCGATTGTTGAAAAGTTAACTGATGATGCTGTTTCGAATTCTTTTCTTGATATTTCATTGACAGGAAAAACATCTCACACTAATTTTTATCTCATTTCTTTTGACTCACCGACCAAGAACGCTATTGATTTCGCTGAATTCGCATTCAAACGTTCCTTTTACATCATCTTCTCACATTTATGACCCTGAGATTCGATCAACAATAACATTTGTAGATGAATTAAGCGAATTAGTAGCACCAATTGTTCCTTCATCGTTCTTTAAATGAAATTCGTTCTCGTACCTTTTCTGATGTCGATCAAACTTCTTCTAATTTATCATTTTCACGTCATCCTATACGACATGCAGCTACAGATAATTATTTACGCACGGTAATAAAAAAACAAAAAAAGTATGATGAACATTTGTGGAATTTGGAACAAAAGTTTGTTGTAAATGACTGTGTAGGTGTGCGAATTGATACAGTTGATAGAACTAATACCGATCCGAAACTCTTACCGTGTTTGATTGTTGAAAAAAGTAGTAAAGATCGAACTGGTGTTTTTAGACTAGCTTGCCAATATGGTAAGTTAGTAAATTTGTTTTCAGTTCAAGATCTTGTCTATTTGACATCATCATGTCCTCAAGAATTACGACAAACTGATGTCAATGCTTTAGGTAATGCTACCTTCATTGAAGCATGTAAATTTTATGCACGTGGATCAGTAAGTGGTTCAACATGCGATTGTAAAAGTAAATGCGCTACGAAGCATTGCCCTTGTAAGAAAGCCGGAGTCCCTTGTTCAACAAAATGCCACTCTAAACGGGGTCAGTATAATAACATAGGAAAATAGCAAGAGAATCGTCAATGCATGTACATAGTGTCTGATTTTTTCTCCTTTTTCACGATAATTTTTTAAACACAATTATGTAAATACGATGATAAACTGGGTATTTAAACAAACTATTTTGCGAACTGCCTTTGTGATTTAACTCTTGAAACTATTTTGATTCGGTACACTCTTTAATTTAGAATCTACTATGCTTGATTAAATTTTCTTATGTGTTATAGGCAGAATACTTGCACGTTGCTGTGTACATTTTTTATAAATAAAACGGAAAAGGAGGTTGTTCTCCAGTAACGTTATTGCTGGATGAAATGATTAAGCGAAAACGGTAGTAGTTATAGGGCCATCCAGAGGAATATCAATCAATAATGACGCCATCTGGAAACAACCTCACAAAAAAAATTCACTACCTCTTCAATAATCATGCCACCTTTACGCGGTGGAGTGGATAAGTAACCTGTTCGCATGTGGGCATATGCTTTATCGAAAGAGACTTTTTTTCTTGTATCGTTCTCACCAGAAGCTAAATGGCTCATGAACGTCCAGCTGAAACTAAGAGCATGATTTGTAATAACTGACTGGACTCGAATATTATATTTTCCAACCTCATTCGAACAGATTCCAAGTTGGACTGAATTTTAATATGGGCTGAATAAGTCCAACTTGGAATTCCGATTTGGACTGGACCAGATTAGAATTCCAAGTTAGACTGCTTAATCTCTAGTCCATCTTGGAATTCTAAGTTGATCCAGCCCAGACTGGAATTCCTAGTTGGGCTAGTCCAATTCGGAGTTAGACTAAATTCCACATTGGACTGTAACATATCTTTTCCATATCTATATCTTCTGTGACGTACACTCTTTGACACAGAAAAAGAGGAAAAAAGAAAAATGTATATGTCGCAGTAGAAATTAAAATTTCATTTTCTACTAGGAGAAATTAAAATAAGCGGCGATTTTAAGTTGCACTAGTAGAAATTGAAATTTTAATCTCTACTATAGGAGAATTTTAAATTCTACTAGAAATTTTAGATAACGGAAGTATTTTAATTTCTACTGTAGTAGAGACTAAAATACACATTTAGACGGATGATGATATGTACAAGCACATGCATTATTTATTAGTAAAGGAGACAACAGCACAGGAAATTGTTGAATATATCAAAGAGTTTACATCTATTTATTTGAACAGTGTTTTTTTTAGCAGGATGGCATTTTGTACTCCATGGTACTTTAGCTGCTTTGCATGGACATTTTTTTGTGGCACAACCACTATTACAAGCACAAGCTTCTGCAACTGAATTAACACCACTACTAACGTAATCGTTACAAGTTTGAATAAATGTTTGTGTTGGTAATGTTTGAGAATCAATAGCATGTAATTCCGAAAAATTACATTTTGTTAAGTCTATGAGATCATTAACACCATATCTTGAAGATAGAACACATTTTGTTGTACAAGACTATAGGTATTCATATTATCAGATGATGATTGTCTTGAAATGACTTTACATGGTAAAATTTTTGATGTTGTGTTAGTTCTATCAATTTTATCAATTTTTAAGCCAGCCAAATCTCCAGTTTGGTATTGTCATAATTTTTGAGCATCATCTTTGTCTTTTAGCGATTGTTTTCATATAAGCTTCTTCAGCTTCATCTCGGATTCATTTATGTCTATCCGGTGTTGAACTATTATTATCACCACTATTACTATTTGTATTGTCAGTTGAAAATAAAGTTGAGAAGAACATGAAACTAACAAAGAAAAGACGATTTGACTTCAGAGGAATACGTTATACCATTTTACCTTCTTCATGATTCATTCCGTTGCAATATTTAGCAACTTCATCTGATTCTTCATCGTCCCCTTTATGGCAAATAAAATTTGGTGATAATGGTGATTGTGATCGTTCAAAATCAGTTGTTGTAGTTGATGAGATAGTAGTATTAGTTAATTGTATTGCGTCAAGTACACTTGGAACAGCTGTGGTCACTTCTTTAGCACGTTGAGTGGGTTGAGAAACAAGGTTACTTTCACCACAAGCAACTAGAACCGCCCAGAAAATCTATGGTTTGACGAAAATTTAGAGTAAAACATTTTACCCTCATTCAAAGCATCAATAAATTCTACTGACAGTTTTTCCCAAGGGGGAAAAAGCGGACTCCTGGACTCCTGAAGTCCAGGAGTCCAAGAGCAAAGTGCTCTTTTTTGGGAATCACTTCCCAAAAAATGAACACTTTGCTCTTGGACTCCTGGACTTCAGGAGTCCGCTTTTTCCCCCTTGGTTTTTCCTCATCGTCAATACCAGTTTCACTCAATAGCTTCCACACTTCGAAGCCGGAACGAGGTTTTTGTCCGAAAACAACCTCATAAGGTGTTTTGCTAATGGACTGTGCTTCACTGGTATTAATCGCGTACACAACTGGTGCTAATCCTGAAACCATATGAAAACTATAAACAAGCTTTCAATGAAAGCTTTTGCACGCACCTTTAGACCATTCAATAGAACTTGTTGACTGCATCCATTTTCCTAATGCTGCTTCTAACGTTTGATTTCCGCGTTCCACTAAACCTTGTGTTTGAGGAAACGGGCTCTACCATTAATTATAACCAAATCTGACCAAGTATTTTTCAAATCCTGAAAGAATGAGCACGAGTTACTGCAGAAAAGGTAGATTTGAATAATGTTCAGTTATTTTGATAACTCGTGTTACGAACGCTTTTCCGTTGTCGGACTATAACATTCGTGGAGGTCCGAATGCACAGAATTGCTGAAGTAGCTTTTCTGCTACAAGCTAAGCTTCTTTTGTCCTAAGTGGATAAGCCCATGAAAATTTTGTGAAATGATCCTTTGCATGAAGGATCCATTGTAATTCACCATCAGGCACGGTTCTCATATCAATTAAATCTATTTGTAGACGTGTTAAATAACCAAATGAAACAATAGGTTTATCTATGGAATATAGTTATCACGAAACATGCAGGATGTGAGGAAGAAAGGAATAGGTCATACCAGCTATTGGCTTTGGAAATGCTCTGCGATTCCAACATACATCACATTGTGAAAGAAGAATAACTACCACATCAAATGGAATCCAACAATATTGCTGTTTCACCTTAATTTTAAAGAAAATTATAATTTTCGGTCTGGATTCGAGTACAAAATACTACCTCTTTTCACGTTTTATCGCGACCATGATGTCCTACTCTTTCATAACATTCTTTAATTATCGTGTATAATTGTTCATATAGAATACTTTTTATAGGAGAGATATTCGTTTTAGAACAATTTTCAGGTGTTCTTCTCCTGGATTCGATCTTCCGACCTTTCATACGCTGTACTTCTCCAACTACGCATTTTCCCATTGCACTAAATTGTGCAAAAGGAAACTAC